AAAAAAAAAAAAAGAAAGAAAGAAAACAAAACATTGAAAGGACAAGCAAGATTTAAAAAGCCCCTTACCTGTTCAGGAAGACCTTCTGAGTCAGCCAGACAGGGTGGGTCTGTCCCAGCTCTCTATTCCCCGACTCAGAATTCATCACCCCTCCCTGTCTTCCGCTGCCCCAGACCCCAGTAGGGGGTGACAGGATGTTCTAAGGCACCTCTTTCCGGCTCAGTTTCAGCTCAGTTTCAAGGTTTCAGAATGGTGTGATGGGGGTTGGGATTCACCCTGTCCCAAACCTGATTGGTCTCTGGCCAAGTGTGGGAAGGCCCCCCTTGGGGGAGTTGAGGGCCAGAGGACTGGTTTATTTTATGTATTTAAAAGCACTTACTCTGTACCAGGTCCTGTACAAATTTAACTCCGTTAATTTTCATAGCAAACCAATATTCCCATTTCATGAGCAAGGACAGGTGAGTAAATTTTCCACTGGCCTATAACTCATGAGTGGCAAGCCTGCAGTTAAAAATACAGTCATTCCCATAGCCCTTGTGCCACCTCGCCTTGGGCTGGTGTCTGGATCCTACTTGAGATCCCTCATCGTGGGAGCCTGGGGCTGAGCCCAGCCCAGCACACAATTGAGTCAAGAGAACTGCATTGGGAATGAGCCACAAATCTTCCTGATGTATCCAATGGGAACAAAAGGGATGCTACAAATGGTTCTCAGCTGAGAGAAGCCCTTGAGTGGTGCAGGTTCCTCAGCTGAGGGTGGATGCCAGTGCCCAGAATGAGGGTATCAGGAACCGGCAGCAGTAAGAGATTCAGTCTCATCATGGGGATTGCATCATGGGAGGTCCTTCAAGAGCTGTCCACAGGAAGAAAATTCAGTGGCCATGCCAAACCCAGTAAAACCAGCCATGTAAGTTCCCTTAGACCCTACCTCAGAGGTCAGATGAATAACAGCCCCCAAAGACCCATAGGTCCTAATCCTTGAAATGTGTGTATGTGACCTTATAAGACAAAAGGGATTTTGCAGTTGTGATGTGATTAAGTTAAGGATCTTGAGATGGGGAGAGTATCCTGGATCACCTGAGTGGGGCCTAA